GGAGTTGCAGGCTTGAATGGCTGAAGTAGGAGTTGCAGGCTTGAATGACTATTCTGAAGTAGGAGTTGCAGGCTTTATTTCCAGCATTGAGAGTGATGGTCCAGAAGTTTTGGTTTCTCAAAATTGGAAACTTTAACATGGGTGGACTTCAACTTTCAGAATTCCTTAACTAGCCATGTTTTAATAAAATGGTAAGAGCCATGGTGGCACAGTGGAAGGCGGTTATTGCCAGGCTCATTCTGCTGCCTGCAAGCAGTTCAATCCTGACTGACTCAAGGTTTGAGTCAACCTTGAGTTCATCCTTCCGAGGTCAGTGAAATGAGGATCCAGATTGTTGGGAGCAATATGCTGACTCTGAAAACCACTTAGAGAGAACTGTAAAGCATTGTGAAGCAATATCTAAGTCTAAATCAGGGCTGTCAAAACTCCTGGCCCACGTATCACATGCTGGCCATGCCCATGTCCAGTTTAGGGAACGGGGGAAAAAGTCCTGATATGTCATGTGATGCTGCCCACGATGACATGAGTTTGACACCCCTGGTCTAAATGCTATTGTTATTGCTAAAATGCTGGTAGTTCAGCCTAATGAACAATATTCTTATTTACCCAAAAGACACAAGATAATAAATGTATTTGCTTACAGATGATGCAGTTTGGTCCATATGGTTATATAAATCCACCACAAGTAAATCTTTCTTCTTCTTCTTGGAAGAATAGTACTATTACACACAATGAAATGTACAATAAATGAAAATGAATCTTGAAATTGAAATGTATTACTTTTGAAAAGTTACTGTAACAATTGGAGAGAAATCTGTCACTACTAAGAAGCTTCCAGCTCACTCAGTGTGAAGATAGGAAGGAGATGATATTGCTTTCATCAGATTTTATTTACTTTTAACTTTATTTTATACTAGGATATGCCAGTTCTTAGTATCCTCTGAAGCAAGGGATATAAACAAAAGCAGTTGAAAACAACATTTCAGCTTTAAAAGGAGTATAATAAAGGGCAGATTATAAAGCAGCTTTTTTGAAGCATGACAGACATAAAAGATGATCTGACATAACATTCTACTTGCACTAGCGTAAATTCTCCTTAGAGCCAACCTCAGTTGGTCATGCCCCTGTAGTTTTTATTGCAATAATATGAAAGTGATTTGCCTTTGCCTTCCATATCAACCTTCCTGCCCACATACAACCTTGAAGTTTCTTCATCTCCCATCCAGGTACTAATCAAAAGGGCTGTGCAATGCTTTGGATTTAATTCAGAAGATACACCAGAAAGAACAGGAATAACCAAACACCTACCGAACCTTATTAAAGAAATGTTCCAGAAAATGTTTTTTGACTTACATTGCACAAATCCTACTAACCAACTGTGATCCTAATTAGGTTTTCACGATAAGCCAAAATCAGCTGCTGCAAATGAAACAGGGAATGTTGTGCATTGGGAGGATGTGTCTCCTAAAAATGGTTAGAAAGTCATTTTTGCACTATGGGCAGCAAAATGTGAGGATGACACTCTAAACAAAATAATCTAAACATAAGGTCAAACTTCTAGAAAAAAATGCAGGTTAAATGTCCTCCAGTAATATCACTGCATCAGTATCCATCAGGGACTTGCTGCTGAATAATATACATCTGATCACTTAGATATTACCTGTGTCCACTGCCCTAATTCTGATTCTAACCTGGTAATACGTTTATTACTGTACATCCAGTACAAACCATACAAACATGCAGGCTTCAATCAAAATTCTTCTCCTGGTCTGGATTATTGAATGATAGCCCAATGACACTGCAAAGTTGAAAGGTCTCTTGAGTCTTAAAACTACATAATGGTCTTAAAACTATATAATATATCTGTCAGTTGGAAGTACAGTACTTCAACTGCTGTCACCTTGCTAATTGCGGGCTAATTCATGTTAAAATTTTGCAGATATTTTTATATCTTTGAATGCTAACATTATCAGGACAGGAGGATCCTACTTAGAGTTCCTACTGAAAATACCCATTAAAATTTCATTATGTGGGATTCTGTACAACCCATCCAGTAGTGGGATCCTACCTTAGTCACGATCAGTTCGGTGGGTGATTGTGCATGTGTGCAAGTGCATGCACCTCTAATGAGCACACCAGTGGTGGAATTCAAATTTTTTTACTACTGGTTCTGTGGGCGTGGCTTGGTGGGCGTGGCAGGGGAAGGATACTGTAAAAGCTCCAGACAGAAGTGGTGTTTGCTGGTTCTCCAAACTATTCAAAATTTCCGCTACCGGTTCTCCAGAACTGGTCAGAACCTGCTGAATACCACCTCTGGCGCACACCCCGAACAAGCCAATTAGCTGAGAGGATGAAGAAACAAAGAGCTAGGAGCGACCCTCCCACCCTCTCATGTGCTTTTTGGTCTTTTATCCTCTCAGCTGATCAGCTGATCAGAGGCTTTTGTTCCTCCTCTCAGCTGAACGGAGGCTTTTTTCTTTTTACTACCGGTTCAAGTGAACCGGTCTGAACCGGTAGCATACCACCATTGAACCCATCTCTTCCAAAAAAATATGCTTCCATTCTAAATAGAAGGGAAGTGTCTTCTACCAGGGAAAATGTTAGATTTCTTCCAGGCTATGTAATGCTTTTCTAATTGTATCCATCTATACCTGTCTAAATCTTGCAACATTCACTGAAAATTTCATGTAATAGAAATATTAATCAGTGATGTTATTTCCATAGAATTGATCACCCATGTTCTCTTTTTTTAATGCTTGTTCTCTTTCTTTTACTTGCTAGCCACAAGGGTTTTCAGGTGGCTTAGAAAATGGATTAATTTCTAGTTTTATTTTATTTGCTAGTCACCTAGGATTTTCTCAATTAGGTAGATTAGAAATTGGATTAAACATTATAAACAATAAAACAATGTTAATGGCATCATTTTCTAAAATTATTTTAGAAAATGTGTTTAAGATATAATTCAAATATTCTCACTTTGTGTTTTATCCCCTTCATGAAGCCTTTGCATAGAAGAATCTTGTGATACTATCTAAATTCTTGGATAGTTGTTGTTAAAGAGTGCATTTACAGATGATCCATATTTTTGTCCCTAAACCTTCCAAGGCATATCAAAACTGTTCTCTGATTATATTCAGTTATGTTGGCCTTTAAATGCAGAAAACTTGCTTACTATGAATAGAATGGAATGGAATGGAATGGAATGGAAAAGAATAGAATAGAATAGAATAGAATAGAATAGAATAGAATAGAATAGAATAGAATAGAATAGAATAGAATAGAATAGAATTCTTTATTGGCCAAGTGTGGTTGGACACACAAGGAATTTATCTTGTTGCAGATGCTCTCTGTATACATAAAAGAAAAGATACATTCGTCAAGAGTCAAGAATCATAAACACTTAAAGATAGTCATAGGGTACAATAAGCAATCAAATCATATTAGGAAACAGTCAATATAAACCTTTAGGATACAAGCAACAAAGTTGCTTGTATCCTAAAGATTTATATTGACTGTTGCTTGTATCCTTACAGTCACAAGTGGGAGGGGATGGGTGATAAGGAGTGATGAGAAGGTTAATAGTAATAGTAGTGCAGACTTTGTAAATAGTTGAACAGAGTTGAGGGAATTATTTGTTTAGCAGAGTGATGGCTTTCGGGAAAAAACTGTCCTTGTGTCTAGTTGTTCTGGTGTGCAGTGCTCTATAGCGTCATTTTGAGGGAATGAATTGAGACAGTTTATGTCTGGGATGTGAGGAGTCTGTAAATATTTTCACAGCCCTCTCTCATGAGCCCACCAATACTCCCTCCATCTAAACAATGAGAAGAAATCAAAATGGCATTCAGCCACTACTCTGTCTCCTAAAGCTAGCATGGCTCCTGTAATAACAGAAATCTCCTTATCCCCACTTCATCCATAAAGAAAACAAATCAACTGCAGCTCCTTTTTATATTCCAGGAAACCTGAGGGTTACTCCACAATTCATCGCAAATTGTTATGGTGACAACATCGTATGCTGACATTTTTGTAACCAGCAGTTTACTCAATAGTTTCAGCCATGTTTATATGTTATTGAAACAGGGGAGTAGACACTGCCAAAATAAGTGGAAACTGATATGCAAGGGGGTCCCAAAGCCAGTCCATATCATGCAAGAGTAGAAGCTGAGAAACAACTCCAAAGTGGATCAAACCAGTCAAAATAACAGAATATACAAAGTTGGAAGGAACTTTGGAGGTCTTCTAGTCCAAACCTCTGGTCAAGTAGAAAATCCTATATCATTTCAACAAATTGTTGTCCAATCTCTTTTTAAAAACCTACAGTGTTGTAGCACACACAATCTCTGGAGGCAAGTTGTTCCACGAATTAATTGTTCTAACTGTCAGGAAATTTCTCCTTAGTTCAAAGTTGCTTCTCTGCTTGATTAGTTTTCACCCATTGCTTCTTGTCCTGCCTTCAGGTGCTTTGGAGAATAGCTTGACTCCCTCTTCTTTGTGGCAGCCCCTGAGATATTCATGTCACCCCTAGTCCTTCTTTTCATCAAACTAGACATACCCAGTTCCAGCAATGGTTCTTGGGTACTCCTCCAGTACCCATCATCTTTGTTGCTCTTTTCTGTAGTCTTTCCAGAATCTCTACATCTTTTTTACATTGTGTTGACCAAAACTGGATGCAATATTCCATATATGGTTTTACCAAGGCATTATAAAGTGGTATTAATACTTCATGTCATCTTGATTCTATCCCTTTATTCATGCAGCCTAGGATTGAATTGGCTTTTTTGACAGCTGCAGCACACTGCTGGATCATAGAAGCTGCTATGTAGGAGCCCTAAATTTCTGTACATTTTTGCCATCTAAAACCTCTTAGTCTTGCAAAAAATCAACTATAATGGAAGAGCAACAAAGTACAACATTAAACATTTGATTCCCATGTGCTGAAACTCTACACTAATTTTTTTTTTAAAAAAAACTTTTATTTCAGATTGCTGGTTCCTTTTATGGCTACCATTCAAATTACCCACAGATGTTCTCCCAGTGGCCTATATTGCCTCTGCAGAGATTTTTCCTCTGGCCACAATCAGCCTCATCAACCCATCAAGCTTCTAGGGTTCCCCAACAGAAGCCTCAACAAATTCCAGGAACTAAGCAGCCCAACGAAAGGCCACAGTTACCACCACAACAGCAACCAAGATATCAGCAGCCACAACCTCTGCCAAAACAGCCACAAAAGACCAACCCATCTCAGACTTACCCACAAGTGCCATTTCAGCATCCTAAGGAGGGAAAACAGCAACAGCAACAGCCCCAGGTAAATGAGTAGATTTGAAATTATTATAAGATCTGTAGTGGTGCAGTGGTTAGAATGCAGTATTGCAGGCTAAATCTGCATTCCACTGCCAGGAGTTCATTTCTCACCAGCTCAAGGTTGACTCAGCTTTCGATCCTTCCATCGTTCAGAGGTTGGTAAAATGAGGACCCAGATTGTTGGGGACAATATGCTGACTCTGTAAACCATTTAGAGAGGGCCAGGAAGCACTAGGGAGTGGTATATAAGTCTAAGTGTTATTGCTAATTGTAGAATCCTGAAGACATCAAATAAAAACAAGAATTATTCTTCTTGAGAAATAAACCTTCCAAATTGGAGTAGAGGATTTGAAGAAAGAGATTAGGAGAGGAGAAAATGTTTACTGTGTTCATTAGTTGAGTCAGTTGGTTCACAATTGCATCAGGTTATTTGATTTAGGCTTAATTTAGTTTGCTAATTTTTCAGCCATGGTTTGTCAACTAAGTTTATGTTCAACTTTGTGTACAAACCCAGCTGATACTGATCAAAACATAATCAACATATTTCTGTGTACCATGTAATACACAAATACAGAGTGTGATAAGAGCTTGTCCTAGATGTTTCTCAAGGTATAATATTTACTCAAGAGAATACTGCATGTATCTACTCAAATGGACTCCACAAAAGCTTATGTCAAATAAATTTATTAGCCTGTAAGATGCACCAAATCTCTTGGCTGGCTTAGCTGCACTTGACTAACATAATACACGTGACATTTATTTATGATCAAAAATCAAACACAAATTTGTAAAACATCATTAAGTTGCTCTACAGAAGGCATTGTGTTGGATTAATATACGTACCACTCTGGGAACTTATTTCAATCTTGGAGCTGACTGGCACTATTTATTTTCTAAACATTTACTGTGGTTATTTAATTAGTTTTCTGGGAGACTCCATTGGAATATGTACAGGCAGTAGTTGCATAAAAATAAAATAACGTGCATTGAAACGAAATTTGCACAGACAGAACAGAATAACAGAGTTGGAAGGGATCTTGGAGGTCTTTTACTCCAACCCCCTCCTCAAGCAGGGGACCTATACAAGTTCAAATTCATGGCTGTCCAGACTCTTTTTGAAAGCGTCTAGTGATGGAGCACCCACAACTTCTGAAGGCAAGCCATTCCACTGGTTTATTGTTCTAACTGTGAGGAAATTTCTCCTTAGTTAAAGGTGGCTTCTCTCTTTGGTTAGTTTCCATTGCTTGTCTTGCCTTCTGATGCCTTGGAAAATAGGATGACACCATCTTCTTTGTGGCAGCCCCTCAAATATTGGAACACTGCTATTATGTCACCTTTAGTCCTTCTTTTCACTAGACTAGTCATACCCAATTCCTGAAACCATTCTCCATATGTTTTAGCCTCTAGTTTCCTATACATCTTCGTTGTTTTTTTCTGCAGATTCTCAATATATTTTTTATATTGTGACCAAAACTGGATGCAATATTCCAAGTATGGTCTTACCAAGGCTTGTTCATTTAATAAAAATCATGGTTACCTAGGATCTAGTTCCATTTGGATTTACAGGTTATAACCTAATAGTGTTGTCACTGTACCATTTGTGTGTTCAGCTTCAAGTCCTCATGTTGGAAATCACACACATTGCAATCCTTTGGTGTCTTCTCAGGAGTGAAATTCCATCAGCTTAAATGGCACTTATTGCCTGGAAGCAAATATTAAATAGCTTGGGTGCATCTATTCAGAGAAGTATTTCCCCCATTGCCCATATTATTTAGAATTAAGCTACCAGAACAGAAATATTTTGTAGTCCTTTCAGTAACCCAAGACTGCCTCAAAAGATTATTGTGCTGCATTCATCGCATAGTGACACTGCAATTATTTTTATGCTGTAAATACATAACAACTGGTTCCTTTCCTTTTGCAGGGTTTTCCTCCATATTCGCAACCACCTTGGCATTTTCCACAGGTGAGTCAATTATTCTTAATGTAGAAGCCTGTTCTGGAAATATTATCTATTATGACATGCTCATGCATTCTCCTGCAAAATTACAACTAAACCCAGAATAATTCTTACAAAACACTAAATCATTACCGTGGCCTTAATCAACTTTAAGTCTTCAGATGTATGGATTTCAAGTCCAAAATACTTATCTGGCAGGGTATTCTGGGAATTAAAGACCATATATTTGGAAAGTGTCCAATGAGTTACAGTTATGAATTGAATAACCATTAGATTGTATTTTCCTTTAGTCTTGAAGCCCACGAAGTGAGTTTTAGTCACATCTGCCTCACAAGATTGCTATGACGATAAAAAGGAGGAGATAAACTCTGTGTGTGCCTTGACTAAATGCACCTTTTGTAGAGCTCTTTGACATTATACACTTATACTTATTATCTTGTAAACAATTGGCAAATCAAATAAATAAATAAATAAAATAAATAAATAAATTAAAATACATTTGAGATGGATGAAATTTTTCTTTTCGTTTGCCTCTAATGCTTTTTAGGAGAGGATAGCAATTAAATTGTTATATTTGGGGGAGGACTGTTTGTGTTAAAAATCAGCAGGATTTAAGATGAGTTTACAGGAGCATGGCTAACCATTGTTCAAGGAACCAGTGTTCTTTATTTCTTTATTTATGACATAATACAATCCTAGAGACATCACCTTAAAGCAAAGTGTACATGCAAAGAACTGGGGAAAAAATGCAACACTGATTATCCATTGATGATTTAAAAGAGCACAACTAAACATCTTTCAAGGAACCAGTATGCTCTGTGTATTTACTGATGATGTAATCCTGGGGACATCACCCTAAGGCAGGAGTCTCCAAAACTGGCTGACTGAGGAATTCTGGGAATTCAAGTTTTAAAGTTGCCAAATTTGGAGACCCTCGCCTTAAGGCAAGATATCAATGAAACATGGTTACCATTTAATTATCATGACAACTTCAAAGCCATCTGACCATTGTTTTTACTCTAGATTTTTGGTCCAAGAGGCTTCCAACCAAAACACTATGGACAGGGGCGGGATTCAAAATTTTTAACAACCGGTTTTGTGGGCATGGCTTAGGTGGTAGGTGTGGCTTGGTGGTCATGTGACTGGGTGGGCATGGCTTGGTGGTCATGTTATTGGCTGGGTGTGGCCAACTTAATATCACTCACATCTCCTCGCCTGGCCTCTCATGACTGTGGGGATGCTGCAACAGTCGTAAGTGTGAATAATGGTCATAAGTCACTTTTTTCAGTGCCATTGTAACTTTGAATGGTCACTCCACACAAGCAAAGTACCAGCAAAGGAGGGGAAAAAAACCTCAGAGAAGTTCCTGAGACAGGAAGTCTAGTCCTGCCAAGAATGTAATAAGAGTTATTGGAGAGACAGTTTCTGTAAGCAACAACAGAATGTTTCCTTCCTGCCTTCCTTACAGGATTAGGCCAGTAATTTCTTCTAACAACCGGTTCTCCGAACTGCTTAGAATGTTAACAACCTATTCTAGTGAATAGGTGCGAACTGATAGAATCCCACCCCTGACTATGGGTCTTATCAGGGAGAGAGATATTCTGTTTTGAGACTTATTGTTTCTTTTGATAAAGGGTTAAACCAATTATTTTAGCAACCAAACCAACTCTTCAATATCCCTTTTTGTCATGCCACTAAGTTGTAGTGGCTTGGTTTCCTACTGAAATTAAGTAGCAAATAACAATTTGGTGTCTAATTGTTACTAATTATAGTAGATATGGTCCTGGAAGTATTTTAAATGTTTATTATTTTTTCCTGTTGCCTGCCTACCATAACTGTATAACCTCACCTCACAATGTCAGTACTAATCTAATCAGAGTAACTAAGGTACCACACCACTTGTAGCTCAAACATTCCGTTACGTTGGTCTGGGCAACCAGATATTTTTAGTCCCAAAATAATAAAGCCAAAATCATGAACAGGAGTAAACAGTCCTGAGATTATATGAAGTCCCTCTCTGATAAAATATGTGGTCCCTGCAACTCTTTCTAATATTTCATTGGCAAGCTAATCAATATGATCTGTTACATAAATAGCTTACTTGTATATCACTACTATTAGAAAGTGCCAGTCAATCAGATTTCTCTTAACCAATCATGTGAACCTTTCATTATTACTGTGATTGTCAATGCTCTGTTTTTAGAGGCAAAATTGCATACGAAGAATATTCTGTAGAACATTTCTTAAATAAGCTGAAAAACGACTAAACCTTATACCACATATTTCTAATTTTATAATAAATAAATAAATAGATAGATAGATAAATTCTGCCGTTCTATGCTAAGTGAGTACTGAAACGTTAAGTGTACATCTTACTTACTATGAAAAACTTTAAAAATGGTGAAGAACCCTTTTACTTCTGAATTTTGTATTCTGTTTTTAAGATGTTTATTGAGTTTTTAAATTAACATATTCTCTTAATGTGCAAGTAAAAACAAACTAATGAAAAACAAACTCTTAACAATCCTAAAAAGCTAATAGAAATTCTCATAGTAAATGTGTCCTTAGTTAAATTTTCCATTTAAAAAATGTCAAACAATTGAGTGAAATAAAGGGAATGCTTCAGTACTTAAAGCTGTGTAATGCAACTGAAGAAAGATTTCAACTAAATACTTCAGCAAAAGAATAAACATAATAAAATATACTTTATTACTCCACTGATGTTTTTCTAACTTTGGTTTATAGTCGTATCTTCAAACATGAACCATCCAGCCATCATTGTGATATAAACTCTGTTGTCATTGTGGTTATATCATACAATGATGACCTAGAAGGCACTATGAATGAGTAAAGATCCTGCCAATATATTTTTAAAATCTTTTCAGTTTCCCAAGTGCTGCTATTTACCAACTGTTGAAAAGAGGGATCAGGATAAAAAAAGAGATGAGAGGAGAATGTAATGTCTGAAATCCTGACAAAATGCATCTCAGTCTATAATATTTTCTTCAAAGTGTGCAGATCAATAGTTATCCCAGCTATCTCCTAGAACAAATTCATATGTAGTTCAAATAGTCCCACCCACTATCATCTCCAGGGAACCTAGAACAGCTATGGGTAGCACCCCTATGTACACCCACATTATCCCCTATAAAATAATTATCCTCCCAATGTTGGCTTATGCTCAGGCCACAAAACATAGAAAGACAAAGAGAGGTTTGAATATACATGTGTATATATTTTTTTTTTTTAAAAAAATGCAGTTACAAGGGAGAATAAGGTGATCAGGAAAATTAGGGAAAAAGTAATGACTAAAATATTGATTATTTTTTTAATCTCACATTTATTATTTATATAAATAATTCAAGGTGCTGAACAAACGTAATACTCGTTCTTCCTCCTATTTACTCCACAACAAGAACCCTCCAAGGTGTATTAGGTTAAAAGTGAAGGGGACCGCCCAGTAGTGGGATTCAAAATTTTTTACTACTGGTTCTGTGGGTGTGGCAGGGGAAGGATACTGAAAAATCCCCATTCTCTCCCCACCCCACTAACCTGCTTTCCAGCTCTGTTCTCCTGTGCAGGGCAACAAAAGAAGACCCAGCCAATCAGCTGGGACTCAAGAGGCAGAGAATAGATGGGGGCAGTCAGAGGTAGTATTTGCCGGTTCTCCGAACTCCTCAAAATTTCCGCTACCGGTTTTCCAGAACTGGTCAGAACCTGCTGAATACCACCTCTGGACTGGCCCCAAATCACCCAGCTGGCTTTCATGCCTATGGAGAGACTAGAACTCGTGGAACCCCTGATTTCTAGCCTGGTGCCTTAACCACTAGACCAAATTGGCTCTTGATAGATCTTAAATAAGTATACTTGACTGATAAACATAGAGTTATTACTGTCTAGGAAGATTCTCAGTCATCCAGGTTATGGTTTTTTCGGGGGTGCTTTTTCCAGAGGCAACTGGATTTTCTTTCAGCTCTGAGGGCTGAAGAAGCTTCTGTGATGAGAAGCAAAACATCTTTGCCTCTTGATAAAGCACCCTTGGGATTGAGTTATTATTCCATTAGCTATTTAATGCTTCCATCCTGTATTTCCCCAATCCTTCCTGACTTATTTATTAATTTCCTTAGCATATGCCATTTGGACAGCCACCTGTCAGCAACGAAGAAGGGGTAAGTATAACAATTAAATGCACTAATCTATATATGAGCTTCGAGTAAAGCAAAATCGAGGCATAGTTTGAGAAGAACTACCATGATTTTCAAAGAGACCTTGATTATACCACAGTTGCACATATCACCATATTTAATGTTTGCTAGTTCTAAGGCTTAAGTTTGCTCCGCATTGAATCATATTTCTTTTATCATAATTATGCCTTGGAGGTAAGATCTCTTTAGAATCTTTGGCTTTTTAGGGCAATCGGAAACACCTGATTAAGATATGATTATTTTCTCCTTTGCATTTTTAGACTCCATATTTTGGATATGGCTACCCTGGGTTAGGAAATCGGCCTCCTTATTATTCTGAAGAGATGTTTGAACAAGACTTTGAGAAACCCAAAGAAAAAGAACCCCCTAAAGAGAACCCAGCAACAAACTCAACAGTTTCAGACACAAATTCAACCATTCCAGCCAGCCATGGAGAGAATGCTACTCTTTCAGGAATCAGCACGACAAATAATGAGGCCAATTTTCCAGGTCTTTCCAAAAAAATTGTTAGTGGAAACGGAATCCCAACACTTTCTCCTACTGGTCATATGTCAGGACAAAATGAAGCAGCCCAGAATGGCTTTGATCAATCAAATTATAGACCTAAGTCTACAAATACCAATGTTTTTCACAACTTTTTTTCAGGTAGTCAACAACCCAGGGGACGTGGTACATATATTTATAAACCCAACCCAGATATAAGTAATTCAAGACATAACACTTTAGTTTCTAGAGGAAATCCATCGATGCAAGCTGAAAACCCCGAAGACCCTTGGGTTTATAGAGACAATTCAGTTCACGGAGCTAATCTGCAGAAAATTAACAGTAATCACCCAACTGCAAAAAATAGGCCAAACTCATATGGGGAACAAGAGAATTTTCATTATCCTGGAAATAATCCATCAAGCTGGAGAGCTCATCCTAGCTCTGATCCAGGATCTCAGTGGAATAAGAATCCAGCATATGGAGGTAATAAACAACCTAGTTCTCCATCAGAAAGCCATTCTCTGAACAAAGCGGAAGAAAACACTGATAGGTATCACCCTTCTAGAAAACAACAGTCAAATGGTCAATCCCATCGCGACATATTTTTGGATACAAGGGGAACTCCATTTGAAAAAGAAGCCCATAAGAATGATTGGAACGAACGGTCCTTTATTCATCCAGATCATCAGAGAGAACAATTTCCATCTTTACAAAACCGAATGTGGAACCAGAAAGATTTAGAGATAGTTAAAGAAATTCCTCCAGGATATAATTCAGCGTACTCCCCAGGTTCTGTTCATCAGAGGGAACATGCTACTTATTCTGATAAGAATTCTTACAGGCAGCAAGCTCCTTCCTTTTATCCCAAATTTTGGGATGACAAAGAGAATTTCCCTACAATAGAGCGTCCAGGCCAAAGAGAAAGGCCATCTTATTCGCCCCTTTTGCCTTCAGATCAAATGCACAGGAGCGAATATCATGGAAGCATTCAGCAGGAAAATGAATTATATTCCAGGCAAAATATACAGCCCCATGAAAAACATTTGGCTGATCCTGATATTCAATACCAAAATCCCCCCTATAATCCAAGTGAGCACCATATAAATCCCAAATATTATGCAGAACAACCAGCCAATGAAAGAGGCAATTTGCCATATGAGGAAATTAACAGATGGATTCCAGAACATTCTCCAGTTCATGGTTCAGAACATTATGAAAATGTTCCATATCATATAAGCAATACACATGGTCACACAGAGAAGAATCTGCCATACTCTCCACCACAAACTAGTAATATTTTCCAAGGAAGATCACCTTATGATGAAAGAGATACATGGGCCACCAAAGTGGCTGACCCATCTGCTCTCAAAGAAACGTCATCCTACTTTAATACGTACTCCTCAAACATCAGAAAAAATCCAACATATACTGAAGATACATGGCGAGCTGTACATATTAGTGCACCCATTTCAAGTAATAATGGTCCTGGAAGGAGAAATTATCCTAATGCAGGTGTATATCCAAGAGAACACGAAACCATCACCTCTCACCCTACTATCAATTATTTTTGCTGTGCAGGTGAGTCCCCAGGGGGAAATGAAAATATACTGGCACCTTTGAGACTTGCACCTCAATTCAATCTGGTTTCATGGGAACAAAAAAGTAGTCCAACTTATCCAGAAGGTAGTCATGCCTTGTATGCCAGACGTCCTGCATACCTAGCTGGTATCCAGTCTAATCATTGGAACAATTCTTTAAAGTCTAATCAAAGAGAAAATCCAGGTGACTTTGGGGAAGAAGTAGCAGATCTAGAGATGAGTCTTCCATGCTCCAATTCTCTATTAGGCCAAACAAGCGATCATGATACTGTCTATGAAACTGGATTATTTCCTTCCAAGGGTATACTTTGCTCTAAAAATAGTATCAGAGGGGATGGCCATAGTGTTCTTGCTCATATTGTGGAGGTAAATCAGCCCAAGAGAGAGTTTGAAAGGGCAACTTTAAGGTTTCCACAACCACAAAGCATAAGAAATGAAGCTGTCAGTGATATTGATAGGAAGGCTCACCGTGCAACACAAGGGTTTGGGTGGACACCATGCTTTGGAAGTTGGTTAAAACAGCATATATCTAGTACTGGAGACCCATTAGTGGATCAGCCTTCTGATGTCTTTTATTTAGAGAATTCAATGCATGCTGGAAAACCTATCATGCTGCCTGAACCCCAGCCAATGTCTAGCACCGTCCCATCTCAAGATGCAGGAGAAGATCAATTAAAACTCACTTCTCCAGAAGAACAGATGGGACAACCAAATGAAAGGACAACAGATTGTTTACTCTTCCAAGATGAGTGATATATTAAAAAGAACCTTCTTTTCAGAATCTGCAAAAGCAGAATATATCACAAATGGAAAACTAAATAAATATGTCTGCAGCACTATGTCTATATCTCACCTTAGGTTCAAAGGCAGATGTTTGAGTGCAGATGTAGGTAAATGTAATGAAGACATCTATGCTGTTCCAAAATAGATTTGACATTTATCAGCTGAAATCTATAGATCATGTTTCTCCAATCAGGGGCTATCCAGATTTATCTGATTTGCATGTCTAAAAGCAATAACGGCTGGGATTATTGCAATTGTAGCTCATCAATTTAAGACAATCTTAAACCAAACCTAAGACAATCTTGAGGAAATTGGGTTGGGATAGGGAGTAGTAGAGAGTTAATCCAATCAAACCCAAAGAGACAACTTTCTATCTGAATATTTTATTTTTAAAGTGTTATTCTGGTTGCTTTTTTTTCCTTTTGTCTCTCTTCCCACAAATGGATAAAGTCTATCCATAACATTTTGCCCCTGCTCATCCTTCTGTCAATGTCCTGTATGTGTTTTGTGGTATTTTTCCTTTACAATTATCACAAATGAAAAACTAAATAAATATGTCTGCAGCACTACGTCTGTATCTCACCTTAAGTTCAAAGGTAATTGTTTGATTAATGGCTAATTTTATATGTAAATATATGTATGCATGCAGAAACTGCCTATCTGTGTTCAGATGAATATATCTGCTAATATTACAAGCCAAATATTATGCAAGGACCAAGTTTTCCCATGCGCTTTTGGCCTCAGTTTGTCCAGAAAGAAAAATGTTGTCATCAAACACAGCACGTCAATAACATTTTGTACTCTTCTTTGCTGGGGCACAAATGACTAGGTTAAAATAAATGCACTTTCACTCCTTTTCTGAAGCTCTTTGACATTAAAATGCACTCATTATGGGCAGAATTTTTCCTTTCATGTGCCTGTGCTGATTTTTAGCAGAAGATGGCAATTAAATTGTCACCCTTTTTTGTTTTTAGTTTTCTGTTCAGAACCAGTAGAATTTAAGATGAGTTTACAGGAACACGTCTAACCATCTTCCAAGGAACCAGTATTTCCTATTTTGTTATTGATGATGTAATATAATCCAAAAAACATCACCTTTAAAGCACAGAATCAGAAAAAATGCAACACTGATTGTCCATTGATGATCCCTCCTATCATTAAGAAGACAAACTCATGGCCCGCGGGCTGTGTCATGCGCTGGCCCTGCCCAGTTTAATGAAGGGGAAAAAAGTCCTGATATGTAACGCCACCTTGATGACACGAGTTTGACACCACTGATTTAAAGCACACATGATATTTTCTTCCTGAATTCTGTTCCTTTTCACACACATGTAAGATGGCTGAAATCCGGCACATAGATTATGTCAATAGCATAAGCCTAAGGATGACAGAGACACACCATTCTGTTTCCTGGAGTCTCTAAGACCTGTTTGAGCTCAGCAACCACTTTGACACTTATTCATCAGAAATGCCTTTCATCCTTTTGCAGGTTGATGTATATGTTTATTGCTTTTTTTTCCTATTCCCACCCACATTTCTCCCCCCACAAAGGTTAGAGAATGTATTGTATCAAACTAAGTTAAGAGCGCATGCAATCATGCATAGGAAAACACTATGCTGTTCTGAATACATATGATCAAGGGCAGGCTTATATCAATATTTCCTTTTAGGCAACAGGAGGGGAGAAGTGTCTGAATAGAGAATGAAATGTAACCTTTATTATTCTTTCCAACACCCCCCCCCCCCAAAATAACACATTAGAAAGAAATTACATAAAGAGGATTGGAAGTTTAATCGATCATCAACAAGACTACTCTGAAGACTGAACAGAATGGGAACAAATTTAGTGTTGGAAAAATAGTACCTCCATAATCAAAGTCAAAAATGAATCAAATCAAGTGGGGGATTGCTGAGAAAGAAACTCCCAATTTCCCCCATTTATCTCTATGGGAAAGGCAGTTAAATGGGAGCTCAGAATGTTTTTGAGTGCTCCATTCTGAACCCCAAACTTTCCTTCCTCTCAATTCCACGACTCTGAGCGGGGGTCTAGAATAACACACCATGGCCAACATGCCACAACAAACTCACCACGACCAACTCACCACAGGACAACTCAATGTGGGACAATTCAGCTCCATATTAATGGTTTCATCAAAGTACGAAAACATGGTCAGTTTGAATTACAGTATTGTGACTCTTGCATTTTATTTTTTTGGATTCACTTTATTTTACCCTGTTTCTCCAACAATACGGCCTCCCCCAATAGGAGGTCCCAGCATGTTTTATAGGCATGAAATGAAATTAAGCCCCTCCCCCCAAATTAAGGCCTATATTAAAACATGCGAAATGGGGGGGAATGGTGGGGGGGCTTGCCATTAGGAAGTACTTTTGTTGCACACCCGGATATGGTGCTGCCTGCGTTGACCCCGATACGAAGTGCCCCACCAACGCTGAGGTCAACATCCAAGCCATCACCGCCCGCCCGCCCGAAGATGCAAGGGGGGGGAATTAAGTCACCCCCGAACAGACGGCCCAGCCATTTTTTCGGGGCTCAAAAAAAAAAAAAGACCCGGCCTTATTATATGAGAAACACGGTGTTATTATTGGCCACAGTTACATTGAAATTTATTTAACTTGTTTGAACTTTTGTACTTGTTGAATTGTCCTGTGGTGAGTCATCCCACAGCAAGTTGTCCATAGCGATTTGGCCATGGTCCATTGTCCCAGTCTGCTGAGGCAGGGTCTATGCTGCCTTCTCTTTGCTTCCCAGTGCACCTTATGTACAGCTGGATGAGACACAAAGGAAGAGAAGAAATACAGGTGCAGAGGTGCCATGTGTTACTTTATATCACAGAAGAAAATACCCTTTTACCACAGCTGGAAAAGAGGTTCAGGAGAATTCCATAAACTATGGGTGGCATGCTTTCCCTCTCTTGGCATCTTGTACAGAGACTGTAAAAGACAAGTAACTCTATTCTTATGAAATAGGATTACCTGAAAAGCTCCTGCCAAAGGTAGGCTTTGACAATAGCATCTCAACAGCATCTCTGAGTAAAAGTTTATCCCCAAATCTGTATTCTAAATCTGGGGTGGAACCTATGGCACTCCAGACATCTCTGGACGTTTCCATCATCTCTCACCATTAAGGAGTTTTGCCTCAGATTGATGGGAATTGAAATCTAGGATGCTGAAGATCTAGTAGTTCCCCTCTTCTGCACGAAATATAATCCATTACATTTTATGGGCATTTAATGCTATATCTTGACCAGTTATTGAATGATGCATATTTAATAAGAATATTGCATGAAGTACTGATCTTCTATTATCATATTTGGCACATTCCTGTGTTAAAGCCTTATCAGAAAGACCACAGATGAGCAGAATGTATATCAACTATTTTGATGACCACTAGATGGCAATAAGGAGCACAGTAATCGCCATCTAGTGGTAGTCTGATTGTTTGCAGCCCAATTATAATATGGCTAGCAGTACAGGTAGTCCTTGACTTACGACCACATTTGAGTCCAAAATTTCAGTTGCTAGCTGAGACAGTTGTTAAGTGAACTTTGCCCCATTTTATGATCTTTCTTGCTACAGCTGTTAAGTGAACCACTGCAGTTGTTAAGTTAGTAACACGGTTGTTAGGTGAATCTAGCTTCTCCGCTGGCTTTGCTTGTCAGAAGATCGCAAAAGGGGATCACACAATCCCAGGACACTCAACCATGATAAATATGAACCAGTTAATTTTGATCTCCTGACCAAGAGGATGCTGCAATGCTTGAAAGTGTGAAAAATGGTCATTTTTTTTCAATGCCTTTGTCGTGGTTACTAAATGAACTGTTATAAGTCAAGGGCTGCCTGTATTGCACCAAATAAACATATGGTTTTGATAAAATAAAAAAGGGGATTCTTAATTGAAAAATTAATCAAGGGGGAAAGGAGTTAAGGGCTGTCTAATCAAATAAAAAAAAACTCTTAACATCATCCTAAGGTTACTTAGAAGAAAGTCACCCTAAGTTGAACAATATTGAATTTCAAGTTATCGAACACATCTGGCATATCAACCCAAAGTATGCATAGTCTTTTTTTTTTTTTGGAAGCAAGATTTGAAAGACAAATGCCAGCTTCTTGGATTGAGCTCAGATGCTAACTTCCAGGCAACAGACAGTTCTGTCCTGGCCAGCATGCCCTGGAGATCAGGTTCTCCATCCTGTACCAGCTGATGCTTCTGATCATTTTTCAAAGTCTGCCCTCTACTTTCTTCATCTTTACAAAAAGGATCTCAGTTACGTCTGCTAAATTTCTGTACGTTTGTTAAAGCCAATGTGAGGGTTCCAATTCTACATGAGAAAAAAAAAAAAAGCTATTCCTAGCATCAGAGACTTCAGCAAATATTGCCTTACTAAAAATGTTATTTAGACTCATAAAAACGCTAGATTAATAGTCTGAGAAATAAGAGCTGAGCTTTTAGCTCCTCCGCAAAAACATAGCCTGGGCTAGAAGTCAATTCCAACATTCCTTCCCACGACAAGGATCATTTGCAGTATTTGACCTCTGGGTTATCAGGAAATGTAAGTGCCAATCCACATAAATGTTAGAGCATCCAAGCATCACAGAGGAAATAAAACCCAGGGCAACATTGTGTGCAGAATGAGGACTGAAGATATGCAAGGAGGGCTTGGTTGACTCAGTTCTCCGTGTCTCTAATTGCATTTTATAGGAGATGCTAAACAGGCTATAAAATCATTCCCCCGCGGGATTGCTTAAATCTTTCTCTTTATAATGAGGGTCATTTCACTGGTTATTGTAAGATATTGGCACATGAGTGGTTCTCACTGGTTGGCATCAAAATAAAGAGCCATTAGTTAGTCTCAAACGGGTAGATGGCTTTAAAACATATGCCCTCAGGATGCAATTATTGGCCATAATTGCTTAAGACAAAGCCAACTGGATCAGATTAAGGGAGAAAT